CTGGTTGCACAAGTTTGGTGGAGCGATGCCCCTTGTGCCCAGTGCTGAATAAACAAATACCTGCCACCTCTGAGATACAAGGCTGGGGGGAGTTCTTTAACAGCCTTTTCTTGGCATCAGTGTGAGCTGAGGAACAGCAGCAGTGGATCCTGACAAGGATCCAACCACCCCAAGAATGTCATCATAGTCCTTGACAGTCCATAAATCAAAACAGCTTCAGGACCAAGTAGTAGCACAGTGAATTGGTACTGGGCCTTTCTGCTCCTGGTTTACAGGTGGTGATTTCAAACTGAGTGTAACTTCCTGCACACTCTTCACCCAAAAACTGCTACTGCTTGTACCAGTTAACATCTTTCTCAGCTTATCTGATCCATAGCTTTCCATGGAGTGGAACACAGTGTGCTGCAATGCAGCAACAGGTCTGGAGGAAGTTGGACTGCCAGGAAGGAGTGTAGGAGCCCAGAATTCCATTGCCTATGTCCTGCAGCTTTAAAAGCAGAGCCCTGTACCCTCTGGCTGTGCTTCCAGCACACAACTCCATGGCTTGCACCAATTTGAGAGCATTTTTATTTCAGCCTGTTCCCTCCATTCCTGTCAGCCTGCCTCCCAAAAGCTATTCACTGCATTTTTAAAGAAATAATTACTATTTTTAAGTGTGGTTTGGTTGGTTTTTTTTTTCTTCCCTGTGCCTTCCTTAAATGGTTTAAAATCTTTCTGACAACCCCTCTGGAGACACCTATTTAGTGTCAAAGAGCATAACGTTCCCAAGTTTTAAAAGGACCCTGGCATAATACTGATCGATCAATGTGCTCCTTGGGAAAAAAAAAAATAGCTCTCCAGATGGTCCATGGGGCCGGGAATTGCGGGCAGCACAATGAGGAGCAGCTCGGCGTCACTAATGCGGCTGTTGGGAGCTGCTGGGAGCTGTGCTGGAGGCTGTGCTGGAGGCTGTGCTGGAGGCACACTTCTTTTGTCAGCCTCTCCCGGCTCTCAATGGGCAGCAAAGTGTGGGAAACGCCGCGAAACTCCTGCCCACACTCGGAGGTTAATAGAGGCTTTGTCAGGAGGGTATTCCTGAGCTGTGGGATCAGCATAATCAACAACATCTTCCCTAAGGGTGGGAATGTGCCGGAGCAGGGGAGAGTCGCCCCAGGGGATGGAGAGGAGATAAGGAGCTTTGGGTTCAATGATGAGAAGTGATGATAATAATTAATAAATTGTAAACATAACCTTTGGTGTGCTGAAGCCAGAGCTCTGGCTTTTAGCTCGGGTGTAATTGCTAAATGAAAGCCCCGAGGGGCAAGTCTTGGGAGGAGGAAAGGCAGAAGGTGTAAGATCCACACTGGTGGTGGATCTGACTCCCTGCAGCAAACAGCCCCGCGGGGTTTGGATCCTTCCCACTGCCCCACGAGGAGGCACTGACTGTTTCTCTGCCTTTCAGCCCTGTTTTACCACCCTGCAGGGTTTGTCTGAGGATCCCATCCCAGGGGCACAGCCTCCCCGTGCCACGTGTGACTGTGCCCAGTGGTGCCCAGTTGGGTTGTTGGTGATATTTGGGGCACGTTGCATTCTGGCCGAGTCTGAACTCCCCCAGACTGCCCTAATTAGGCTTGATTTAAAAACCCAGAGGCATGGGCAACAGCTGGAGTTCTGCTGGGCTTCAGCAGCTTGTGCTAATTGACAGCGACAAGTTGAGCACAGGGCGATGAAGTGACTTTTTCAAGCTCACTGAGCAACCATAAACCCCCCAAAATATCTCTTCTGAATTATTTAGCAGTTCATTAGGAAGAACAAATCCATCTGCAGGGTTGGTAGAGACCTGAACCCAACCCCACCTCGCATTGCAGAGAGGTGAGGAGCACTCAGCTCGTGGGAAGCAACAGCCCAAGTGATCCAGGAGCTGTAAGGAGGCAGAGCAACATGTTTCTGACCTGGTTAAGTGGCTTTTTTTTTGTGCTTTCTAGTTTATAACAGAGGGTTTCAATGCATCTAAGAGGGTTTCAGCACAAGCCAAGCCAGGACTGACCAGGTTCAGTGTTTGAATGCAGTTTGATCCTGTCAGCTTAGCAGATCTGAGGTTGTTCCACGTCTAACTGAGCAGGCATTGGATAAAATCAGGTATTCCGTGTTTCCTTTTGTTCAGGAAAAAGAATATATGCTGGAAATGAAGCTTTTCAAGGACACCTTTCCCAGGGAATGAAGCTTTTCAAGGACACCTTTCCCAGGGAATCTGAGGAGAGTTGGGTTATTGACCAAGGTGTTTCATGCTGTGCTTGTACCTCTGGAAGGCTGAGAGGGTTCCCTGTCACACACCCAGATCAGTGTGTTCCTGTGGGTGGAGAAGTTCTGGGAATGGATTATTAGTGCAGATTAATTTTCCTTTGAAGGGAAGGGGAAATACAAGGAAATAATTTAGGAGAGGAAATGTTTTCTCAGTCTGTTCTCTAATGGTGTGTACTTTTAGCCACGTGTGGGCATATTTCAGCTCAGAAAAGAGAGCAATTTGTGTCATGAAATTAAAAGACAGCAAAAACTAGTTCCCTCCATTGCAGGTAGTTTCAGAGTGGGTAAGCTCTGAGGCAGGTGCCAAACTCTTTGGAAGCTGTTGGGAGATTTGCATTTTGTTCCCCCCTAAATGGGCAGAAAGCACCAGAGTGAGCTCAGGTTGGGCAGATTGATGGGGGAAATGAACTTGCTGTGAAATTAGGGATTTATTGAAGGCTGAATAGGTTCTAATTCAGACTGAAACGTTGACACCTCTCAGGTCTCACTTCAATTTCACCTCCATGTTGATTTTTGGTAACTTTTCCAGAGGTTGCTGCTTTGCAGAATGTGAAATCCAGCTCTGCCCAGGGAAATGTCACAGGTATAAAGTGTGTGCTGGAGTGAAGGGCTCAGAACTATGACACCTCCTGATGGATTCCCACTGCAGGAGAGTCTGTGTGTCCCCAGTCCAGCAGTGTTAGCCACTTGAATAATTTCAAACCAAAGGATTAATGACTAAAACCATTTTTATTGTATTGTACACCCAAGTAGAACATCACACAGGATGAATACAGCACAACTTTATAAAAGCTTTTTAAGCTCCTTAGCATGTTCAGTGAATGATTATAGAGTACTTATTGCCTCCCTTCCTCCCCCTTTTCCTTAAGGTAAAGCACAGGTATTTCCTTTACAAAAGGCATCAATTATCCCTCAGCTGAGAGCAGCACATAGTGACATGAAGAGAAAGAATTTTCCCTGGAGCTATCTGTGATCATCACAATTTTCTGGGAGAAGGACACTAAAAATAGCAGAGGAGCTGCAGAAGAATCAGCATTTCTTAACAACGTCTTTCACTCAAAAGGTAAAGGCTCAACCCTCTCTTTATGATACAAAATACATTCTCCAAAGAGCTCCTTCTTGAGGAAGGTCAGTACATTATCTAGAGACAATGGAGCACTTGAACCAGTGACCCAGGGAGTCAGCAGGAGGATTTCCACTGACAGCCACAGGCTCAGCAGCCTGTGATGCAAACTGAAAGGCATTTGCTCTCTAAATCACCACAGAACTTGGTCCTGTCTTTGGCCAGGAGCCACCAATAAAAGCAACAAATTTGCTGCAAGATACACCCACAGTCCTTCATTATGAAGGGAAACCACCCAGCGACCCTCATTTCTGGTGACAGAAAAACAAGAACCACCCCCCTCCCACCTCTGGAAAGCAATGTTTCCTACTTGAAAGAGGAACTAATAAACCACATGTCCCTCTAGTTTCTG